CCTGCACTCCCTTTTCCCCCCTGCCTCCCACCCTATTGCCAAATCCTTCCACATAGGGGATATCTAGAATCTGTCATTTCACTCTGGGTAGGGTCCAGGCACTCCCTAAGAGTCCAGGCTGAGATAGCATCCCTCTTTCTGCTATGGGCACATGATGACTGTTTGTATTCCAGGGATAGACACTGATCCACTGCTCAGGGCCCCATACGTTGCCCAGGCCTTCTCGCTGACACTCACATTTGGGGAGTCCTCTCTCTGTCACTGGGTTCCTTGGGTTCAATTCAGTGTTTAACTGTGGGTGTTTGCCTCTGCTTCCATCAGTCACTACATGAAGGCTCCCGGATGGCTATAGACATCAAGTTCATTTTCAGGAATGAGCATTCGAGGTGGTCTCTCCACTATTGCTTAGCTTGCCAATTGGTATCATCCCTTTAGATCACTAGAGGTCACACTGGTGCCTGATTTGTCTTCTAACCTATGATTCCCTCTTCCCCCTATTCTATCCCCCCACTCAACGTTCCTGTTCCCCTATGACTTACAGAGAGTCTGGGAAACAGGAATGAACCTAAGAGATATGCATGGTACCCAAGAGATGAGGAATGAGCAAGATACTCTGAACAGATGGGGAACACGGCAAGGGGTAGTGGGATTGGTAGTTGGGAAGAAGAGAGTGGGAGAAGAGGAAGAGAGTTTGGAATTATATTGGCCCTATCTGATAAAATAGGATATTCCAATCTCCTGGACTTTGGTAGACAGAGTGTGATTCCATTTTATGGTTTTGCTTCCAGAGGTTAAAGTTTGCTAGATCAATATTCCAGCTGGTGCTCTCAGTACTGTACTTTCTTCAACATAGACCCATTTTAGATCATGATATTAAATGAGAGAATTCTTAGCCGGGCATTGGTGGCGCACGTCTTTAATCCCAGCACTCGGGAGGCAGAGGCAGGTGGATCTCTGTGAGTTCGAGGCCAGGCTGGACCAACAGCCTCCAAAACAGGGAAACCCTGTCTCATAAAACCAAAAAAAATGAGAGAATTCCTGCTTGGTGAAGCTGGCAATGTCAAGGATTATGATTTTCCTGTGGCAACTCAGTGTGCAGAGAGACAGATGTTGAAGGAGATCTGAGGATCTTTTCTCTATTCAGCCCTGGGGATCTTGACGATGAAACTATATGATGGACAGTCAGGTGATATGTGGAGTTTGGGCATCTTCCTACAATTCCTGCCATGGGCAATTTCTTCCAGTAGAAACCACCATTGAGGCTATTCCAAGGATCATCAACACCACAATGGGCTCCACTACCTACCATTTGATGAAAATCTGTCTCATTATCACAGCAGAATTACACTCTGTCCACATCTACTACAGGCTAACATCATGTCAGCTTGTGCAACAGCCTTTACTAGGCCATATTCAAGAACATGCACTACCTGACACTAAGGAAACCCTTCCAGTGTCATAAAGATTATGTGCAGCATTAGATATTCCTGTGAACAGAGTGCGTCATCCCTTAAATACAGGCAACAATCTACAATCCTAAAATACAAACTGAGCTCTGGGGATTGCCATCTGCAAGAAAACCCTGACTAAATATCATCCTTCCAACTCTTCTTAGTCTGCCTCTCCCTTGAAGAGGAGAGCCTGGGAACCATCTCCTCCAATCAGAAGGAAGGGATGCAGAAAAACATAATGCTGCACAGGTGGTCTAGCCTGTAGGTGGTGCCCTGTTCAGATGACAGAGTCCCAGAAGGAAATCCACTACAGCTGCCATCATCAACCTGCTACACGGGGCATTGCCCTCCATATGAATTCAGTGGATAGTCTCTTGAAGATCTGATGATTTCTCCTCATCTGTGCAACTTCTGAATTGGAAATCATTAGGTTTTCTAAACATGGGCCTTTGCACAGATTAACATTCCACAGGGCAGACCTTCCCAGTGAGCAGCTCCAGACTGTACCCACAATCTGCTTCAGGGCCACTCAGGGACTGGAAGTTGATGAAGCAAATTTGTCATGCACTGTACTGCTCCTGCTTCCTACCCACCCCAAGATACACCCAGAAATTTTGTGCCAAGGGCTTCAAAGTGAAGAGAGAACAGAGGAGTCCTATAGGGAGCCCATTTGATTGGTCCAATCAGATGCACTTCACTGTGTTTTCTTAGTGTTATTTTAATATACTTTGAAAATGAGAGGTTATAACCATCTCAGAGGTGCAGGAACTTAGGATGTGTATATACATAATATTATATATACATATATATATGTATACACACAATTCCATTTTCTCTTATGTAAATGCATGGACACTTGAACTCCAACTAGAAAACATAGCTTGGAGTGTGAAAGCATGGGAAGGGAAGGGAGGGAGTTTGACTAAAGGAGCCATAGCTTTAGAAGAGAGGAACCAGAAGAGCTTTGGAACAGCAGCAAAGTTCGGTGCTGAATAAGGGTCCACACTTTTCATTTGTGTATATTACATCTTTCTGTTCCAATCTGCCAATGTAAATAAGTATTCCTGGTTCTGAGTGCAGAACCTGACTCCACAGGACCAGAAGGTAAGGATGACAAAATTCCCAGTGCAGAAAGGAGAGAATAAGGATAAGCAGGAAAGATGTATCACCATGGCCTTGTAGATGTTATCTAGGTCGCACTGTTGAGTGTGGATCTACATTGTTTTCTAGGGCACCTTCCTTATGGGATGCAACTCTCTTTCTCATAGATGTCTACCTACAGGTCAGGAAATCCAGGGGCCTCATCTGTGCACGATATGGACATGATGCTATGTTTGAATCCATGAAGTATCTCTGTAGTAGAAGATGAGAATCAGAAGCCTGAGCTTGATGTAGTGCATTCCCAGGGGAAGACATGTACGGCTCCGTGGGCCTTGTCCCAGCTTACCCTGCACTGATGAATGGTATCATCCCATCTGAAGAGTAATGGGAAACTGAGTGGCTATAGACTTGTGGGTTTGAGTGTCAGTGTGTTGTACTTTAAAACAGGAATTCTTTCTGTTCATCTAAAGTCATGTCTTCCTGGAACAATGTGTCCTAGTAGGCAAGGTGCCAATTTTTCTTCTTATCACAAGTCAAAAAGCAGATGCGCTGTTCTGCTTCCAGAGGACCACCACCTTCGCTCTTTACCTCCAAGGGGCCTGATATGCCGGGGAGCTCATCCTGCCCCCACCCACGCCGCTGCTGCTTCCCCTGCAGCCTCTGCCGCTGCCTCCACCACGTTCACTGCCCTTGCTCACACACTTGAAATTGCTAGCCTCCCTGCCTGATGTGTGCTCTGTATGTGCCTGTGTGCAAGCTGCTGTCACGCTGCCACCCTCTCTCCTGCCATCCCGGTGTATGTCGGCGCATGCTTGCATTCGCATCCAGCTCTGGACACTTGCGATCCTAGTGGGACCCCAGCTGGAGGTAGGTGTGTGGAATGTTCGGGGATGACCCGCACCTGGTGCGCCATCAGAGTGTGCCGGACGATGTGCCCATCCCGGACTCTTGTGTCTCCTCCACTCAGATTTCCTGGTGATATGTCTGTCACAGGCCCTTGCTATGGGGCAGGAGGGTGTGATGAGAGCCGCACAGGTGAGGTGAGTGAGAAGATCGCCCCCACATGGAGCTGAAATAGAGCGGCCCCACGCTGAGGATGTCTGGGGTAGTCCAGATGACATCCATGCTGTATCCTATCTCTGCTGGCAAATGTACTTAGGAGTTTCGCTTCTGCTGTTTTCAGAACAGCCTTGTTTTGACTTCAGAGACCTGGGCTCTACAACCCTTGTTTACCCCCAACCTCAGCATCTTCCCTTTATTATATTTTTTAAAGTGCAATTATGCAACTTTAATTTTTACCAACTATAATTTTTGTACATTAGTGTCTAAAATCGCAAAGAACAGCAATGTTCTTTACTTGTATGGCATTAGAGGCTTTTGTTACTTTGCTTAAATTTACAGAATGACCAAGAAAAATGTGACCAACAGAAGACTGAATTCACACAAAGTACTAGATGGGAAAAATTGTTTTTTAAATAATACTATAGCACATTTCCCCACAGCACATCATTTAATTGTTCTAGTTAAAGAAACTAAAAGATAAGGAGGGGCTGGGGTGACACTCAGCGACAGAGCACCCGCTTATCATGTGTGAAACCTTGGGTTCAATATGCAACAGTGTCAAAACATGGTTTTCCAGTAAATCTGATCAGATATTGGAGGAGAGGGTAGGATACTGAAAGGAGAAAACTTACTGCCATGTAGAATTACTGGTATTTAGAAAGAAAAAAATCACATCTCACCGTCTACTATTTTCCTCAAACTTGGCCATGACTTAATTCACAGTGGCATAAATATGGCATTATCTAATACAACACACTTTGGTCAAGGAACACTGGAAACGTCCATTTCATTTCAACAGCTGTCACAGACTACTTTGTTCCCTTGAACAACCAAGTGAGGAAAAGACCCCCCTTTAATTCTTAACATTTTTGTTTAGACAGCCATAAATTATGTTTTCTAACCTATATTCATGGCCTTTTGAATACAATGAATGGATTTTAAAATGAAGGCACAAACAACATACTATATATTTACAATGGCTTGTGATGGATACAATATCTGGAAATAATTTCTAGTTTCCTGTTTATTATTGCTATTTAGTCACAGAAAGGATTAATACTTTATAAGAAATGTAGGTTAGCATATGCCATATAGATATAATTTTATGTGAAGAGGAACTATGGGAGAACAGGATGTCTTTACAAGGAAATAAAGAAACACCAGTAAAAGAACTCTTCCATATAAAGATTTTTGAACCAAATTATTCTTTTTCAGAACACAAAACCTTAAATGTTAGAAGTAAAGAGAAATTAGCAAAGAAGACAGCAAGATAGAGACTCTTATATATAGACACAATGCATATGTAGATGTATGTATGGGTTGAATTATAACAAAAATACTCATGTATTATAGTCAGTTCTCATTTAGAACCAACACTTTTCCAAGCAAGTACAATTGGCTCAACACTCTCAGTCTTCAATTACATGATGAGTTAAAGCTGTGTAGCAGTCACTGCTGATGAGTATCAAGACAAATGTTTGACGAGATACAGTTTTTCTCCTTGTTCACTTGTAAAGATCGGCGCCTTTTTGTAATGTTCTACAAGTTCTTCCATGGTGCTGAATTCCCGCTGCCCAATGCAGTAAACAGTCTCTTTCAGTTGGACTTTAAAATGCTTGTTTTTCCCTTGCGCTTTTAGTGATACTGAGAAATCATTTGTCGAAGATTCACTATCACGAATGAGGAAGTCTCCTTCATTTCCCCTTTCATTTAATGCCGTTTCTGCCTGGTGCCTGGTGACTTTGCCATAATACCAAGGATTGCCAGCAAACTTTCCAGTGAGTGAAGGCCTAATGTAATCACACTGTGGAGGCGATGGTTCCAAACCTGAGGTTAATGGATTATTCTGCATAATGGTAACATAGTTTTTTGGTATTAGGCCAACCATGCCATTGATTTTCCTGCATTTACACCATTCAGGGTTATTTTCCAGCTTTTCGATAACATCCATTACATCACCTTTCTCAAAATTGAGTTCTCCATCATTGGATGAGCCGAACGGGTAAAGAGCCTGTACCACATGCAGTACTTGACCTATATTTAGGTTATGGACAACTGCTGCTAATTTCTCTGACAGAGAACCTACATGGTTACCCAAAGGACTGTCACCTTCTTCAGTCACATAGTTTGAAGGAAACCATCCAATTTGTCCATTGTAACACATGGATAACACATGGTGGAGTAATCTACACGAAGATCAAGACTAGAGAATTGAAAGGAGTACACAATTGTCAGTCCCTGAGTTCAGATCATCTGTGCCAACTTAGAAAGCTAAACAAGGTGGCAGGTATCTGTAGCCACATGAATGGTGGGCACTGAGAAAGTAGCTCCACTGTGACTCTCAGCTAAACTGTATATGCATAATGACATGCCCCAAGTTACATGAAAGTCCCTTTCCCAAAGTGAATGATGGTAAAGGAAGGTAATGGACATCCTAGACCTTTGTCTTCATGATACCCTCAAGGGTGTGCCACAGCTGCATTGAAAGTCACACACAAGCATACATGTTCTGGGGGAGGAGAAACAGATGGAATATATTGTATGAAAACATCTACCTTCAGTAAATGAAAAAAGTGTCAATCCTTAAGGACATTTTCAAAGTTTGCACATAATCATGTTATATTCTATCATAGTAGTGTATTTGATACATATATTCATCTCTGTTCTTTTACCTTTAAAGAAAGACAACATATTTATGAAGGTTAAACTGTTTGCTGAAGGGAGAAAGAGGAACTCACAAAAGCATTTTCTTTTTTTTTGATCAACACCACAGTTTATTTGTAAACATCTTATTTGTGTCAATAATCAAATTGACAACACTTTATACAATTTCATTGTATAATATTAACATCATGACAGAAAACAATGCACTGTACTGAGTTACAGTTTTGGTACTTTAAAATCCTTGAATATAAAGTGTATTTGAAACATGGAACATAAAAATTGAATGTGAATGGCAGCGAAAACAGAACACCCAGTAAGAGAAATCACTTCCCTCAAAGAAATACAAAATCATCTGGTTACATATTTTAAACAAGAAAGGCAGTGGCTCTCAACCTTCCTAATGCTGTGATGGTGATCTCAGGCGATGATGACCTCATGCAGCGGTGACCCCAACCACAACATTATTTTCGGTGCTCCTTCAGAACTGTAATGTTGCTGTTATGAATTGTAACATAAATGTCTGATATGCAGGGTATCTGATATGTGACTTCTGTGAAGGAGTTGAGAACCACTGATTTAAGACTCAAATGGCCCTAGCTTTGTGATTGACATAAGCCGCACTGTTTCAGATGCATCTGTGCGGTGAGCCTGGCCCCTACTAACCTATGCCCTTTTTGCTATTCATGGCTCTTTTTTTCTTGGTGTCTGCATGTTTGCTCACAATGGGTCAAGCTACAGTAACGGTGAGAAAGGAAAACAATGAGGACAGTGTACAGCCAAATGGAATTAAACATTTGCAGAGTAACTGGATACAGCCTCTATCAATTCTCTTTGGCAAATACAAAATCTATGTTTATTTTTTATTTTTAAGTAACTTAACAGAGGCATCTTGGCATGAGCTCACTGGTGGAACAGGCCATATTCATAAAGCAAAGCACAAACACTCACATCCTAAGATGGGGCATCAGCTGGGAGTCTGATGGCTCCACTCTGCCCATTCAAACAAGAAACCAGAGATGAAACGTGTCTTCTTAGCACTGTCCCTGAAGTTCATGACCGTGGTTAGACTCCATCTCTTCCTTCAGTGTTTTGCAAAGGAATTATAGCAGCAAATCACTCCCATATTTTAATCTATAAACTCAGCAATAACTGGACTCACTGCTGTAACTACAACTGTTCAATTCTTTATTAGTATACATGTCATTAGAGACGGTGCTCGACTGCTAATACAAGGATAAATACCTACAGGTAACTCAAACAAAGCAAAATAAAATGAGATTAAAGAGCCCTGACCAAACGAAATACTTACAACTTTCAGTTGGAACTGTAAAAGTTACATATACACATAGCCAGTAGCACTAGGAATGTACATTATCAGTTATTGGAAAAATTAATGAGTGCTTCACAGTCATAGAAATCATTTTAATATTACTATGTACTTTTCCTTTACAGACAAACGTGACATATACACAGTTCTATCCTATACAAGACAAAGTAGAAAACTAAACATTACTGCATTTACCCCAAACACAGCACCAACTGTGCTACAGGTCACCTGGTCCAAAATACTCAATTCTACAGATAGGCCATGGTATTAAATTCATGGCCACTAGAACGGTTTCAAGAAAGGCATACACTTTCAGAGGTTTGCTAAATATACAAATATCAGTTGTATAAATAACAAAAGCCATCAGCAAGACTGTCAGGCTCAGCCATTTTCAAACAGTCAAAGCCTGACCTGGTAGGTCGGGTTAGCTTCACACTAGCAAGTCACTGCCCTCTGAGGGGAGCTTAACTAACACTGCACAATCCCCCAAGAAAGGTGACCGGAAACGTCTGTGTGGTTCCAAATATTCTGACAACTGAGATTCTGAAAGAACTCACGAGACGAAGCACAAGATCAACGGTTCTCTCCACCCCACTGTGTCCTGAGCTGTGTGTGCAGAATCACCTTACATGGAGCTGAGTTCAAAGACAGCCCTGATGCTGCTACTGTGCAGCTCCCAACCACAACCATTGCTTTGAAATCAAAGTCAGCTGTCCTAACAGTGCATTGATAAAGCTACAAGACAAAATGAGACATGCAACAGCCTCAACAGCAAGTGGAAAATAAATTCTATTTTTCCATAAAGACTCTATGAAAATATAAAGCCCAAAGTTGAGTGACAATAGAAGTCCACATACAAACATCATTTAAAAATAGAACGTTTTCCATGCGATGTCAATGAATAGTCAGTTAAGACCTTATAAGTCAAGGTTAAGTTTACACAACTATTCTGTCATTCCCCCAACCATGTTCACTTGACATACATAATTTACAGACATCCCCAGGAACCCTTAATTCCCTGGGAGACCTCTCACTCTGGATGCTCGCCACTTTCTAATGTGACTACCTGTTGGAGGCAGCGTTCCTTCTCCTCCTGTGATCCCCTTATTGTAGATAACAAAATATAAAATTAAACTAGGTTATGTCTGAGAAACTAACATATAAAACTACCACCTCAATATTCACAGTGACTGCTTACAAACCTAACAGTCATCTAAAGCCTATAAAGTATATCCTTAGTTTTATAAAAGAAATGCAGATTGTCTCAAGGTACAAACGCAGCGCTGGGCAGTAAGATGTACACCAGCATGGCTTCAGAAAGTGAGGCATACTCCAAGCGCTGCCTATGGTGCAGCACGACCGCGCCGCAGCAGCAGGGTGCTCTTGCTGGCTGACACTGTAAACCCAACGTCAAGAAAGAAAAAGGCAGAACGTGTGAGCAAGAAACGGTATAATTGAATTATTGCAAGTGGAGATTAGCAATGAAAAGGGAGGAGGGCGAGCGTCCAATCTGTTGTTTACCCAGTCTCATACAATGGGTCTTCTTTCTGTTTATAGTTTGTCTACTTTGCTGCATTTTAAGAGCATGTCTTTAATGCCTTTACTCATAGACACTTGATTCTCTGTTTTTACATGTCTACTATCTAATCTATAACCTGAACTTTGTGATTTAAGAGTTTTCCTCATTGTAAGGAAAGTGTGTCCACGTGAGTTTCAGACAAGGTGTGTGCTGTGCATGGTATGACAGGGCATGTGTGGTGCATAGAGGATGGTGTGGGCTTCCCAGCCTGCTCCAGTCTACTTGATCTATGGATTTATAACTAGTGTGACAGCTGCAAAGAGCAGCAGATGTCCTTTCAAACAGAAGCCATTCATGGCTAAGAAAAACTTTATGTTTGTTCTTTTCATTTTCATTTCATTTTTCCTTTCATTTGCTTTTAAAATCTACTTGTTCATATAAAGTGCACATTTTCCTTTAAAATGACCAACTTCTCTGTTTAGTAGAGTTTCTCATGTTGTGCTGATCCCCAAATGTCAAATTATTTTTGTTGTTAATTCATAAGTGTAATTGTGTAACTGGCATGAATATTATATAAATAGTTTTGAAGATACAGGTTTGCCAAAGAGGTCACAACCACGAGGTTGAGAAACTCTGAGTTAAGGACTCATTGGGAGGAATGAGGTGGATGGCTCATGGATTATCCTGACCCTACACTGACTGTCAGTCACAGAGCTAGACACTCCTGGCTGCTTTCAGCATTTCTCCCTGCGCTTCCATGCCTGATATTCAGCAGCAACCCTCCTTCAAAGGGGACTAATGGATTCCCACGAGTGTACACATAATTACCACAAGGATTCATATATCCTATGGGGATATAAACATTTTCCTATGACTCCATGTGAGCTCTTCATAATTAATATAGTAATCCATGTATTACCATATGCATTGAATTTTTGTTAATGCTGGAGAGGATGTGGAGAAAGGGGAACACTCCTCCATTGTTGGTGGGATTGCAAATTTGTACAGCCACTTTGGAGACCAGTATGGCAGTTTCTCAGGAAAATGGAAATCAGTCTACCTCAAGATCTAGCAGCTCCACTGTTAGGCATATACCCAAGGGATGCACATATATACCACAAGGACATCTGTTCACCTATGTTCATAGCAGCATTATTTGTAATAACAAGAACCTGGAAACAACCTCTGAAATGAAAATTGGATAAAGAAAATATGGTACATTTACACTACTCAGTGGAAAACAATGAAATCCTGAAATACATAGACAAATGGATATAACTAGAAGAAACTATCCTAATAGCGGTAACCCAGTCACAGAAAGACAAACCTTCACTGTACTCACCCTTAAATAGGTATTAGACAAGGTGCATAGGATTACCACCCAAACATACTATTAAAATTAAACAAATCTAACTTCATCAACTTTATGTAGTCAGATGGGTCAAAAACAAATAGAACACAGCATAAAACTCTTACAGATAGCATTAAATGCTGTAAGTCTACACACAGGGGTTGGATCAATGATTTATAGAGCTCTAAAATTCATTCTGTTGCAAGCCAATGGTCATCCATGTGTACATGACAACATAAATATAACCACAGTCACACATGAATTGAGGAACATTTAGGCTTTAACTAAAATATTGGGAGTTACTGTCTGAAAATTACTTAATCCCTGTGTACTCGGTGTCATCATATGCAGAACAAAAATTACGGAGGTACTCATTTCTCAAAGCTTAGATGACAGAATGGGACACTCAGGCAAATGCCTGTAGCTCAGTATGCAAACAGCATATTTTGGGATGAGTCTTCACCTTATCTATTCCATCTTCATTGGCTCACTGTGTAAACTTCACAAAACAGATGAGTTAAACATCTGTAATATAGCAGGATCTCTCAGCATAGCACTAACAAGGAGCAGGAAGTGAACAAACTGCTTGCACATGGGGAAAATTAAAAAAGAACAGGATATCAATGGGTGACTATCAATTAAAATCAAAATCCCTGAGGAAAGGTAACTTCTCTTACTTAATAAAGGTATCCTGATCCCTGTGCCCTAGTTTTCCAATTCATTCCTTTTCTGCTCTCCAACACCTTGATTGATGCCGAAGAACAGTGGGGCAGCAAGCCCCAACATCACCTCCGTGGCCACCACAGTCTCAGGCCTTCTCATCCACATCTTCAGGGGTCCAATCTGCTCCACCTCTGACTTCGCCCAAAGAGGGTCAGAACTCATGGTAACAGAACGCCTCCCAGGTGTCTCCAGAGCTACATGGAGCAGCGTGTCTGCCTCCTCCTTACTTCATTAGGAAGTTGCCTGTATGCTGGTCCACAGATCCTCACCCACAGCAGGAAGAGGATCACAGCAGGAAGAGGATCACAGCAGGGCACTGCACGGAGTGAGGGGTTTGAGCACACATGGTCCTTTATCAGTTTGTTTCCTAAATTTTTGAGATGGGGTTTATAAGTTTAAGTGTCCCAACCAGCGGGCATATGTGGAACAAGTAGTGTATAGGTGATGTAATTCTGTCAGATGTTTAAAAATTGTTGCACTGTGAATAGTAATTGGGAATAATTATCTGGATCCATTAATTTATTAGCACTGCAAAATGCAGGCTTGCTGACAATGCCCTTCTAAAAATTAATTTCTTGGCTGATATAATTTTTGTGACTTAGAATCATCTCAATTTAAAGGATGTGGAGTCACCTAGGAGACAAGCCTCTAGCCTTTTTGAGAGAGATATCTAGATTAGATTAATTGAGAGAGGGAGTCCCACAATAAATGTCATGGTAGCATTTTATGGATTGAAGTCCAAGGCTGCAAGAAAATGGGAAAGCAATTGGAGCAGCAGCATTCTTCTGAAAGTGTTTATCAAGGTCACTGTGGGAGGTTAAGAGTGACTAGTGTCTGCAGCCTGTGTCCCTAGTGGTCTCTAATGAGAGAAGGACGTGAACAGGGTTTCAAGGGTTCTGTCTGAGAGACTGACAGGCCTCCCCTTCCCTTGTGGTTGCTCACAAGGTGATGAACACAGAGTAAGGGGAAAATTTTGACCTTAAAAATCTAAAGTTAAGCCTGTTCTAAACTTAAACTAGTGGCCTCTAGGGGAATATCAATCCTATTGTTGTATTTTTGTAGGTGAAAAAGCATTCATGCATCAGGTTTCTCAGCATGCCTAATTCCCTGTGTAGACCCACACTGATTGTAAGTACACATCTTCAAGCATTTTGTCCTTCACCCCCAAACATAGCCAGAGAATATCAAGTCACATGGTGTAGGCATTTGAGAAGGATTGGATGGGACAGGTATTCTGGCACTTGGGAGTCACAGAATACTGAGTGTTACACATCTCAAATGGAAAGGTACAGGAGCCACGGACTACCACAGGTGGCAGAAAGCATAGCAGCTTACAGCCCTGCCTCAGGGAAAGGCTTCCCCAGTGAATCAGCTCTGCTCTGGCAGGAGAGGGTCTTCCAGCTGGGGATGTTTGCCCTGTGTAGCAATTTTGCTCCAGGAGGAGGAGGTTTCCAGGGAAAGTTGCTACAGTTCAGCTCTGCTCCCAGGAGAATGGGAGAGAGCTCTGCCAAGGGAAGGTTTCCCTGGCAAAAGTGTTAACAGCACTTTTTGCTCTGCTCTGCCCAGGGTTGTTTGTGCTCCATGCCAAAAGTTCTTCTCCCAAAGCTCATCCAAGGGGTTTATTGGGAGGGAAGAGTCCAGGAGAGTGGCTACCTCTGCCAGAGTTGCAGAGGACAGCTGGGTAGTATTAGCAGTCAAAAGGTAAACAGACACAAGGTCATATAGGGCTCCTTGGGGGGGGTGGGAAGTGTTTCCAGGGTGGGTATTGGTCAGATTTCAATCTCCTGCTTAGGGATTGTCTAGTTTTCTGTATAAGGTTAGGGTAAGATTTGGCTCTTGTTTTAGGGTCAAACTGTCACTTTATCTGGTCCTTTTAGCCTTTTGACTCTAGTTTTAGGATCAGCGTGTATTTCTTTCACAGGCTCTGATTCCAGGGGCAAACTGTGTTACTCTGTAACTGGTTTCAAGTCAGGGTGCATTTCTTTGGTTCTGGTTGCAGGGCCAAAGTGTGTTTCTTAGGCTCTGCTTAGCGTGTTTTCCTTTTGCTGGCCTTTTCCCTACACAAGGGTAAAAGCAGAACATTTTTCTCGACTTGATCCTCTTGGATCATGGATTTTGAAAGCTATGAGGTGTAATTTTCCAAAATACAAATATGTCAGAGATTACCATTCAAAATCAGGATTCTTCCCTGGTAATACTCTCAGGGGTGGGTCATTACCTCCCCTGAGTCCCCTATGTCAATATGCATCACAGCAGGCCTACACACTCCTTCTCTTTCCCTTCTCTGTTGCTTCAGAAACAGGTATTTTCTTCACTTTTACAGTGGGATGAATGCCGTTTGTTAGTAAATTGTCATGTGCTATGTAAACTCAGTGAAGCTGGCTCCAGAGGTGAGATTTTCCATAGACCCAAGCATTTAGGTCTCAAAGTGTCCTGCCAAACTCCCTGTTGTGCATCTCTCTAGCCTTGCTGCTTTGTAGCAGCTTGAAGAGGAACAACTGAAGACCACAGGGGAAAAAGCACTCGCCCTTGTAAATAGCTGAAAACAAAACTATTTCCAAAAGAGGGTATTGTTTTTAACCATTCTATAAATGTCTAATGTTACCTGAACTGGAAATGACCTGGATTTTTGTTTCCTGTGAATTATTTTCCATGTACTAAGAGTAACCACAAAACACCCAGAGATGGGAATCAAGCAATGTTCTTTGCAGCAATGACACCTGTGAACCACATCAACCAGCATGGTATGATACCCAGGGTGCGATAGTGTCAACTATACCTTGGAATTAATTGGACTAATGTGACTTAAGACCACTCACCAAGAGGGCAACCATGTCTGGTACTAGAAACCAACACAACCACTCAAGGTAAGTGAGATCATGGATACTGGAGGAGAATTTACAAGTACTAAGTTCTTAAACCAGCATCTTTCCTAAAATAATCTGTATACATTAGTGTGTGCATCCACAACAAATGTGGTCCTCAACTCTATTCAAGGAAGCTTCTCTTTGAAAAATAAAAAGACCACTACAGCAAACTGAAGCCAATCAGTTGTAGAGTTGTACAGCTTAATCCAAATGGTTAAGTGTGTCAAACACTCATAGACATAAGGGTCAGGGGAAATTGAGGAAGAGGGTGTGTTAAGATTGAAAAGGCCAGAGCATCAGGAAGTTGGTGATACAGCTGTCTCCTAATAAGTTTAGAAACTATGCCCTTGAAGTCTCTCCAACATGACTGCCAAAGAATAAATAAGTATGACACTAATAGCCCTGCCAAAATGATGAAATTGATCATTTATTAATTGGTAATGTGTTGGAAGCTGCAGAGTTTCATAAGAAACACCATGTTAATGGCAAAGGTTTAAAGAAGTATATTTCTATCACCTGGCAACAAGTCAAAACAATAGTAATAAATTGCCCCACTTGCTCATTCTACAATCAAACTCCTTTACCACAGGTTGTAATCCCAAAGGTGTTCACAGAAATGAACTTTGGCAAATGGATGTGTTTCATTTCCCAGAATTTGGCAATTTGAAATATGTACACCATACCATAGACATGTTCCCAGGCTTCCAATGGGTTACTGCCCTCAGCTCTGAAATGGCTGATTCTGTTATTACACACCTCTTAGAGGTGATGGCTGTTATGGGTATACTGCGCAAGTAAAAACTGACAATGCTTCAGCCTATGTGTGCAGTAAATTGGAACATTTTTTCAAATATTATAATATAAAACATATAACTGGTATACCTTACAATCCCACAGAACAAGCAGTGGTTGAAAGATCTAACCAAACCTTAAAAGAAATGCTTCACAAATAGCCAGGAGGAACAAAGACCCCCAAAAACAGGTTAAATAATCGTTAACTAACATTTAATTTTGTTTTAATTTTTATTTTTAAAAATAAATTTAAATTAGATATGAGGTTGCTTCACATATCAATTCCAGGTCCCTCTCCCTTTCCCTCCCCTCTTCCAATGCCATCCCACCAACCCCTCCATTATCTCCTCATTTCCCCAGGGAGGGTGAGGCCCTTTATGAGGAGTGTCCATAGTCTGTCATATCATCCAGCACAGGGCCTGCACCCTCCCCCAAGAGACCAGGGTGACAGTGCATCTCTCCTTGTTGGATGGGCACCCAAAGTCCATTTCTGTGCCTGGGATAAATACTGATCTACGACCCAAGGCCCCATAGATTACCTAGGACTCCTCACTGAGACCCACGTTCAGGGGGGTCTTGATCAGTCCCATGCTGGATTCCCAAGCATCAGTCTGGCATTCAAGAGCTAACCCTTGTCAGGTCAGCTGTTTCTGGAGGTTAAACCAATCCAGTCTTAACTAGTTTGCTTGTCAATCCTCCCTCTCTGTCAGTGCAGAATTCTACCAAAAATTCAAGGAAGAGCTTATAACAATACAAGGTTAACTCTTGAATCCCAGGCATCAGCCTGGGAATCCAGCATGGGACTGATCAAGACCCCCTGAATCTGGGTGTCAGTGAGGAGGCCTAGGTAATCTATGGAGCCTTGGGCAGCAGATCAGTACCCATCCCAAGTATACACACGGACTTTAGACTCCCATAGAACAATGTGAGGTGCACTCTCACCCTGAACTCTTGAGGAAGGGTCTAGGCCCTGCCCTATATGAAATGACAGACTATGGACACCCCCATGGAGGGCCTCACCCTCCCTGGGGAATGAGGGGATAACGGGGGGTTGGGGGAGGGCACGGGAGGAGGGGAGGGAAAGGGAGAGGGACCTGGAACTGACTTGTGAAGCAACCTTGTTTCTTATCTAAATTTAAACTGGAAAAAAAAGGAAATTATCTGCGGGGGGAAAAAAACTTTGCATGCAACTAAAAAAAAAAACCAGTACTCTTCAAATTTTCTACATGATAGAAGCAGAAGGACCACTGCCAAACTCTTTCTACTATGCTACAATTACATTAGTATCCAAACCACATAAAGACACAACCAAGATAGGGAATTACAGACCTATCTCCCTCATGAACATTGATGCAAAAATCCCCCAAATGGCTAAGCCTATGAAATAGTTGTTGAACCATGTTCATCCAGGTGAACTGTCCTTTATTAATCCTTTGGGGAAGTCCTTTCTCTGCTCTGAAAGGGACACAAATATGTTACAGAAAGTCTGACATCACAGGCTATTATCACAGTAGAGAAGAGTATTGCTGATGTTTGCTCTGTGGCTTCACAGAGATGTTAGAAGCTACTGTGTTGGAACACTAAGGACCTGCAGAGCCAAAGTAAGCAGAGATGAGGCATAAATGCAGAAGTTTTACTAACTGCAGCAGTTAAGGAGAGCATAGACATTGTTTGGAAGACAGTGTCTTCCTGGAGCATAGGAAATATAGGGATCTGAATCAGGGAGCTACTACAAATTTTGAAGTTTTCGTGTCAATTCTGTAAGATGCTCACTGAAGGAGGACATGACACTCTTAAACACAGTGAGTTTAAAGTTCATATATCTCATGCTCTTAACATTGAGAAAGGGCTGTTGGAAAGAAAGAACCTCTGATTGTGTGTATTCATATTGACACCTATAATGTAACATGACCTTGCTCGACTAGAGAAAAATGACTGAGATTGCAGTAATCGTACTTGGTGAGGACAGGGAGATGTCAGAAAAATTTCGAGATTACAATGCTATATAATCAACTTCACAACTCTGCTGATGTCCAGGTCATCAGTTTCTCCCATTGACTTTAGAGTGTATAAATCTGAGGTTAAATAAACTCTACCTCCTGGACAGAGACCATTCACAAATATTAGTTTACAGTCATGAGAAATATAGTAGTATACTGGCTGGAGGTGCGAATGTAAAAGAAAAAAATTTTAAAAATCACTGTGAATTTTGCCAAGTCGTGATTGGACCATTGCATGTGACATCACTTGGAATCCACGTGAGGTAAGCTAGATATCAGCCAATGAAAGAACACCACCTAGGACTGTGACTTGTTATTGTCCTTCAGAGAATCAGTTGGTCCAGGTGGAGTGAGCAGTTGGATTCACTTGATTCTCCTTCAATTTGGACTTTCCAAAACCTGTAGGATCTTGACATAGTGAGTGTGTTTCCCAGGTTTTCAGTTTGGTGTTTTGTCACAGGTATCTATTTATTTCCTTATTTACATCATTAGTTTGAGTTATAATGTTTGACTGTAAGTTCTTTTTTATCCCTTCACCTCGTTTTTCTTTTATCAGTTTCTTTTCTTCATCATTTTTGCCTTTGTCCTTGTATAATTTATACATGTAATGGTATATATGAACTGTGTAAGATGAAGAATTTGACGTTGACTTCCCACATCTGCCTATACTGCAATTTGATCTTATTTACTTGCTCTATTTCACTTACCCTCCCATTGAATGTAAGAATTAAATCAAAGGAAGAAAGTTTGCTCCCACTGCTTGTTCATGAACCTCCAGGTATCAAATGTGTAACTTGTGTCTGTGTAAGTGGAATATTTAAAGTAACACTCTAGTTTCCTATTTTAATCATAAAAAAGGCATTTCATACCTTTGATGAGTGATGATAACAATGCACAAATGGCATATTATGCTATGGTGTGTGTGGAGGAATTTTAATGTTCCTGTGTGAACGAATCTTGATCATTAATGTGGTGTGAATTTGATGTGAACTATCTCTCATTAAGGATGGTTACTCCTAAGGAATATTCTAATCTACGTTAGTCATGGACATTACCTGACACTGGCCCCTTTTAAGGTTTATTAACTTGTGAGAATAAGGGTGAATGCATCTTTATAACAACATTTGAAAATGTTCCTTCTCTCAGAATATAGACTACTGAAATATTTGGAGAACATTGCTGTCAGATGTTGAGATTATAGAAATCAGCAGTGAATTGTTTTGATCACTGTAAATGACTTTCTTGAAATTTTCAATACTTTCAGTGTTTGTCTAGTTTTTTCTTATACTTTGATTTTTCTTTGATTTATTAATTTCCTCCTGTTGGTTATATTTTCTTTATTAGCAGAGTATGGAAGGATCTGCCCGAGATTACAGAGGTTCAGTGATGTTAGGACACACTTCCTTTGAGACAAAATTTTGTTAGTAGAGATGGGAACTTAAATGGTGGTCTGTAGGAGATTTAATTCTAACAAACCAAGAATGTCTCCATGAATTTCAAGGTTTCTGAGGGAAAGGTAGTTGGGACAACACCAAGTTGCAACTTGGGTAACATGAGACTTATGCTACAGGAAAGAGAATTGGATCTGGACTTTAGGCCACTTGAAGAGCTCATTGATTATATTCAGGGTGTAGGTAGTATAGATATTATCAATGAGTGATTGTGTGAATGCAATGTATCTATTTTGACTTTGGGAAGTTAACACAGATGGGGTAGGGATGGGTGGCAGCCCTCTCTACTAGGAAATTTGTCCCCAGGGGCAAATTGCGAACTGGAAAACATTTAAAAATCAATAAGATGTGTTTTGCTGAGCCTTGATTGGTCCATTGCATGTGACATCACTCAGATTCCTTGTGAGGTATGCTAGTCTCTAGCCAATAAAATGGTGCTGCCTGAGCCTGAGCTTTGTCTGTCCTTCAGAGAGCAGTTGTGTGTTGGGAGAGCAGTTGGATTCAGTTGGTTGCCATATACTTGGCCTTTCCCCCCAACCTTTTGGATGTGCGCATAGTGAGTGCATTTCCCAAGGTTTCAGTGCATTATGGCTTTTGGCACTTGACTTATTTTCTGCTTCATTTACATTACTGGGTTGGGTTTCAATCAACTTCTTTGTCATTTTATTATTCCTGTTTTTTTGTGTATTTTACAAATTTAGTGGTATTCATTAACTGTTAAAGATGAGGATTTCGATCATGATTTTGAGATATGACTTTACTCTAGTTTGATCATATACATCTGCTATAGCTCCCTACCCCATCCAGTGAATTTAACAAGTACTTCTCTTTATATACAGATTGTTTCTCTACTTGCTGATGACCTGTGGGAGACAAAATGTGACACCTGTGTTTGTGGAACTGCACCTTTGTAGTAACACCTTCTGTAGTTCCAAACTTTTCCCTGAAAAAGACATTTCATTCTACTGGTGTCTGACTATATGACTTACCTCAGTATTGTGTGTATGTTATGCTTTCACAATTCCTATACATGAATGAATATTTAGTGTTCCTGGTTAAAGACATCTTGATCAGGAATCATGGAGTTATTAATTTAGTGTTGAGGTTGATGTGCACTGTCTACTTCTCTCACTCAGGATTTTGCAACCTGTCAGTGAAGCATTTTGCCTGATACTAGAATCTTTTTGTTGTTGTTGTTCGAGTCAGGGTCTCACTGTGTTTTTTGGAGGCTGTCCAGGAATTTGTTGTATAAACCAGGCTGGCCTTGAACTCACAGAGATCTTCCTGCCTCTACCTCTTGAGTGCTGTTATTAAAGGTGTGTGCCAACAATGCCTTTCAAAATGTCTTATATTGTTTCAAAATTAGAGTAATGCTTCCATTATGAAAACAATTTGAAAATGTTCCTTTCCTTGGTTTCTGAAGTACTGAAATGCTCGGGGACATTGCTGCTAGGAGCAGCTTTCCTGAATGTTGGTTTTGAATTCTGGTTTTCAGGGTTGCAGTTTCAAATTTGTATCCATGTGTTTTCTCTTCATTTATCCTTCTGTCATGAGTCCATACTGGTTGCATGTCCTTCTAATCCTTCCAGCTGCCCCCAGCTCCTGTCTCCCCCAGATCCACTTCTCCTCCATTTCCCTTTAAAATAGCCAGGCTCCCTCGAGATAGCAAAAGAACACAGGATAACAAGATGCAATAAGATTATTTTTAAATTTGTGCTTATGATGATTTGTGCTTTTATTTTGTCTTTCAAAATTAAAAATTACCCAATGTTAATTTTGAATATTCAGTCTTTTATTTCTCTTGTCTTGTAAAAAATATTTTGTACTTAATTAACTAAACAAATATATAGTAAAAATAATATATATTATGTGTAGTATATATGCTATATATTGGACTTATAATTATGTGTGTTATTATAAAATATATAATAATGCTATTTATTAGAATGTTTAAGAGATCTTATTTTAACTTATTTCAATATTTACACATGTGTAGGAATTCCTACCATATTTGCTAGTGTACTGTGTATAAATGTTAAGAGAAACCTTTTCCTTGAGAGAAGCCTTCCCGTCAGCATGGTTGTAGAGCCACATCAGGCCCAAATAAACACACAGGAGGAAATATTCATTATGAAGCTGTTGGCCTCGCTTGTTTCTTACTGGCTAGCTCTGACTTAACTAATTATCCCATAATTGTTAATCTAAGTATTTCTCTTAATGAAGAATATTTCCAGGCTTCCTACCCCATGGCGTTCCATCTTGACTCTCCGTGTTTCTCCTTCCCAGAGTTCCCCTGGAGTCCTTGTCCACCTATCTTGGTTCCCTATTGGCCCAATAGTGCTTTATTGACATTTACATAGGAATTCCCCCATCATATAAACACTGTAACATTCCTGAAAGAACCACTAGACAGTAGTTCTATCCATTACAATATCAATTGTTCTATAATGTAATCTGTATCTAATCTCTCTTGATGAGCTTGGTTGAGGGGGTGCGTTCTGGCACATCCTTGAAAAGAACTAGCTCATTCTGTCAGGGATCTCAGCATGTTCTTTACATGCGCACTTCACTAACGCCAACTCTGTACTGACACCTGAATTTTAGAAGAAGCAGAAGACTCAGTTTGTAGGGGATCCAAAGTGATTCTAGTTAAAAGCATTAACACACTATGTTGTTTCCAGAACACTGGATGTTTATAGATTAGGCAGATATTTTTAGCACAATGAGAAGCAGGTTGTAATGTGAACTTAGAAAACAACCAAAATGAATTTAAACTCTTGAGCTTGTAATTATGGTAACTGTAGTTAGCGGTCCCCTGGCAGGGCTAGATTATTAGCTTACCGTAACACTATTAGTTAATCTTAAGACTATAACTTTTGGGCTCTTAACATAGCAGTAGATTAAGTGAGAATAGACACCTGAAACATTGTTCATTCTTTCATGCTCCTCAAATCTCTTTCTTTTTACTTCAATTCTGCCTTTTCATCCTCAGACATTTATAACTTTCACTTATACACCTTAGAACATCTTCCTCCTCTTTCACCAGGAGATATACGTGTTTGATTACCAAGAGCACTCACTGTAGATCGAGTTCCTTTCAATAAAGGAATGGTAAAAATTTATATTGAAATCTGTTCTGTGTGTTTATCTCTTTTTCTAAGTCTGGTCACAAGGTAAACTGTGTATTCTAGTACTTTTACAGGACTGAAGACTGTCATTAGGATATCTCATATTTCATGACAGAGATTTCAAAGCTGTAAACTGTACTCCTAAAATTGCATTACCATTATTTCTTTCTTTCATTCTTTCTTTCTTTTAGAATTGTGTGACTTTATCACAGGAGATAAAGAGGTTGAAATTGAGCAGAACACCATGGCTAGCCACATGGAAGAGGACATTCTTGAAAAAGATTTCAAGATGTTACTGTCTTTAGGTTGTGGCTCTTTTGGGGAGGTGATGCTGGCCTGCCACCTTCCCACACATACGCGAGTGGCTGTCAAGGTCCTGGAGAAAAACACCAACAGTGTGGCTGACATCAGCACTGAAGTGAACATCCTTCAGTCTGTGGAACACAGGAACATCGTTCGGTTTTTTCACATGATCGACACAGTGACAACCACTTATGTGATCATGGAATATGTGGCAGGAGTAGATCTGGAGAGCTACCTCAGGGCACTGGGCTGTCTAATGGAGGATGAGGCTAGACCGATTTTCCGGCAGGTTGTGTCAGCACTTCATTTCCTCCACCAAAGGCACATTGCGCATCGTGATATTAAATTAGAAAACATCTTAGTCGATGCAGCAGGAAATGCAAAGCTGTGTGACTTTGGTATGGCAATTAAGATCACAGAGGGGCAGATGTTGGACGAGCTGTGTGGTTCCTTGCTCTATTGTGCCCCAGAGATCTTGGCAAGTGAACCCTATAATGGAATGGCAGGTGACATGTGGAGCTTGGGTGTCCTCCTATACATCCTGGTCACAGGGCACTTCCCATATATAGAAACCACCATTGAAGGAATGTACCAGCTCATCACCACCACGATGTGTCCCATTCCCAGCCACTTGTCAAAATCGTGCCATACCATCATTGCACGATTACTCACGGTCCCCACCTGGTACAGAATGACAATAAGTCAGCTTGTGGAACGACCATGGCTGGGCCACATTGAAGAACATGTACCACCTGCACATAAGGAAATCCTTCCCAGGGTCGTGGAGACTATGTGCACCATGGGCTACACCTGTGAAGAGATAGTATCATCCCTGAAACACAGGCAACCAAATAATGTAACAGCAACCATAAACATCCTCAAACACAGGCTGAGCTGTGGGGATAGCCATGTGCAAGATGAGTCCTGGGTAAACATGGTCTCTTCAGGTCTTCTTAGCCTCCCTCTGCCCTTGAAGAAGAGAGCTAGTGAACCAGTTCTTTCTGCTCAGGGGAATCACTTTCACACAAAACCTGTGGAAGAAAGAGGCAAGGGGTGCAGAAGCTGCCCCAGGCTCAGCAGGTACTCCTGCCGGGAAGTGATGCCCTGCCCTGACAACACAGTCCCAGAAAGAGAGGCTTCTATGAAGGACGTCACCAACACTGCTACAGGGGACATTGCAGTCACCAGGAATTCAGTTGAGAGTCTACCTGGCAGTCTCCCCTGTCCTGAAGCTGCTCTGGATGGAACTCCTACTGTGTTTGTCAGCATGGACTTCTCCACAGAGGAACCATCTACGCGGCCAGACTGTCAGAGTGACCAGTCCCAGGTGGCACCCACAACATCTGGATCCAGGCCATTCAGGGGCTGGAACCTGATGAGGAAGCGAATTTCCCAAGCCCTGAGAGCGCTGTGCTGCTGTTGTTGCTGCTGCTGCTGCGTGACCACCCCACGGTGAGCCCTGCATGGAGTCCTACATGCAGTACGGTTGGTTTGCTAACACAGACGAATTAGTCCCATGTGTTTATAAGATATTATTTTATTATCATTTTAAATCACAGTTGTACCCACTGAGAGGGCACAGATTTTAAGATGTCTAGTACATTAGATGGCACATTTCCAGCTTCCTGTATATGTAAATACTGGACTGTTGATGTAAAAGTAGACAGCATTGCATGGGCATGAGCACGTGGGAAGGAAGGGAGGAGAGTTTGCTCTGGGGGCAAAATGTTCAGAATAGTGGAATATTTGGTACCAAATCCTGTCCTATCAATGTCACTAATAGAGATGCTTTCATGTTTCTTTCTGTTTGGAAGTGAGGAAACGGAAATGGTCTAGTAGAACACCAGCCTGGTGAGGAGTGACTGCCACAGGAGGGATCCAGGACAGACCATCAGAACACCTTCAACCACCACCTGCCTCTATCCTCCTGATGTTGTGTGTGATGTGCATGGTTGCATCTCCTTCAGGTTCCTTCAGCAGCAGCAGTTGCTCTTGTACAAAGAGATGGTCATAAGGCACATCTGCACGGTGACCCTCTATTTCCCTAGCTTTGGCTGTGCTTGTAGTTCCACTCAAAGAGCATGGTAAACAGCTGCTTATACCACCAGGAATGCCTTTGGTACCTGTCTTGGCAGCTCATCAAGTTGGTCACTTTAACCACTCCCACTCAATCTGTGAGTGTCTCTGGAAAGGACAGCAGGACCACTGTAAGTCCCCTGGAACAGGGAGATGGAGCCCAGTTGGGAAATAGGATTGAGGCAGGAAATTGGAAAAAGGAAATGAGGGGTGCAGTAGAGTAAGGAATACAGTCTGTCCTGAGGAATTTCCTATCAACAAAGTACCAAAAAGAGATGGGTGTTTTGACCTGTGACAGGGGTTCTGGTTAAGCCAGAGCAGGAACAAACCACCCTTGAGGAGCATATTGGGAGGGGGCTAGGAACAATGAGCAATGAGATGGATATGGCCTGCTCTGAAGATACTAGCATGCATCAAGGCACACAAGTAGGATTCTGCCTTTGAAATATCTTATCCTTACCTAGTGAGCGAGGATGTGGTTTGGAATAGGGCAGCCTTGGTCAGTAGAGTCCCCTCTTCCTCTCTGCTGAGTAAGTCCTCATTTACAATCACTAAATGAGGCACTCTGATTATTCTTTTGGTGTGCAGTTGGGGAAAATGCAATATCCCATTTGACAACTGTCTTGCTGTGTAATAGGAAGGATCCAGGTCAAAATTCAGTGTCCTGTGCAGCAATATATCAGGGCAACAGGTTCTAGTATCTATCATTCATCCTTACAGCCTCAGCTATGATCTTCCCCAAACTTCATGTAAGTGTCACCCTGCAATGTTGTTGGACATCCCTAAAGAGTCTTATGTAGCACTGACCCAATGAAGGTCTACTTCCCTGTTTTCATGGACCTGGGGGACCAGAATTCCATAGCCTCGAATAGGGCTGTCTCGTCTCTGTTAACAGGACTGACTTGACAAAAGTCTCAGGCATCACTCCTCTTTGATGACTCCATCCCTTCAAAATTGCTTTCTGACTGGCTTTAAGAACTTCAGGAATTGCCACTCCAGTGGGAGATGTGATAAGGGAGATAATGGAGAGGATCAGGGAAAGGGTGTTGGAGAGGACAAAGAGGAAATGAGAAAACCTGTACAGGGAAGGATAAAGTTTGTCCTGAGGATATTACCTAAAATGAGTCAAGAATAAAGGATGTTGGTTGGGGCAGGGATTTTGAAGAAGTAACACCAGGAACAAATGTCTCCTGGAGACCAGAGTTGAAGCTCTGGTTTATCGCCAGCCATAAAGAGGTAAATCATGGACTCATATTTCTGGCTCGTGTCAAGCTATAGAAGTGTGAAGCTGCCTTGGAAAGTGTTGCTTTCCTGAGCTACTGCTAATGGGTGTGTCAGAAGAGAAGATTGGTTCCATCATTCAGTTGTGTCCCCTTATGCTCCTTTCTGAAATGGCCTGATGACATCTATGTCTTTGTTTTCATAGCCTCCTTCATCCAGGTTTCTCATGTTGTGTCCCATCTCCTGAATCTAGGAGTTGACATCATTTTTCCATCTTATGAAGGGATTTATAACCTACATTTGTTCTTATATTAACAAATTGATCTGTTCCTAAGAACGAAGGTAAGTAGGATTTGCCAGGCCTAATTCTGAGTTCTCCCTTAAAAAGCCCAGCAGCCATGACTACTACATGACCAAGGATGTCTATAGGAGTCATGATTAAAAGGAATCCTTGATCACATTTCAACCCTTGACAACAGCCACAGGATCAGTGTGAAGCAGTGGCGAGTGTGGTGTGTGAGCCGTTTTCCAGGACACCTTCAGGTAGGGAGCTGCTCACTGAATGTTGGAGGGGAACTGAACTCAACCTGGATTCCCAGGCCCTGATCTGTGTGAATCATCACGTGAAGGTAAGATTGAGTACAGTAAGAGTCTGTTTGTGGGAGAGGATGAGATTCAGAAGTCTGGTCTTGGTGTCCTGAAGAAAAGGAGCACATGAGGCATCCTAGGTCAGCTTCCCTAGCACAGAGGGCAAGGAACCATTGACCTGCTTGAATGAAGAACAGTGACATGAGAGACTACAGAGGTGTGAAAAGAGAGGTGCTATCTTCTTCTTTAATTTGGCATGCAGCTTCTATTCTGACTGTCTGATCCCTCAAACCTGGTGCATATTGAATTTGTTGGCCAGAGCTTCTTCCCTAAGGGATGACAGGCAGCTCCTGCTGTCACATACTTTCTAGAATCTTGAGCATCTGGTGAGTCCCATGTGCACAGAACAAGCTGCAGCTTGCTTACTGCATGAGAGCGATTTTCAGTTTGTGGGAATCACCTGTGCTCAGGCCTTGTTTCTCTTGCAGATGAATGATTCCAGGGAGGAGAAATCGTTAAATCAAGTAAGAAGACAGGGAAATTTCCTGAATGCACAAGTTACATTTAGTTTTTACAAGGGATATCACTATGTGTCCTGGCTAACCTGATCCTCTCTATGTAGAATAGGCAGATCTGAAACTCAAACTTATCCACACCTGCTTCTTCTGCTGTGTGCTGCAATCACACATGTGTACTGCTGTTCATGGCTTCAAGGTCTGTATAGCATCAATGGTGAATTCCTCCAAACATGTGAGGTGAAATTGTTTCTATTCTGATCTTTTTTCATCTTGACAGGTTCATGTTTTACCTGAAGGAACATTCAAGCAGGCTGGACTTGAAGCAGGGGGCTGACTGCAAATGTGACCTACAAAAAAGAGTCTGTGACCCCTATGAATAGAACCTAGAGGTGAGAAGTGTTGTCATCAATTCTTTTGTAGATAAAAGTCAGTGAACTGAAGGAGGTGTGTCCTAGCTGGTAGATCATTGGAAATGTAGCACAGAGTGTTAACTTGTAGCACTAACCTCCTTTCCACAGGATCTCCACCTGCAGTCCTGTTACCAGTCACATGACTATAATTTTGAATTTTGAAGGAAAAGCTTTTACTTCAAGGACACTAATGGTAGATGCACTGCAGACAGCTACTCATTCTAGATAGGAGCTTCTAGTTGTCCTCATCCAACACAAGCAAGCAGTCCACTTCCTTGCTGAATTTCATGGATAGTCTTGTCTGGCCCCACCATTGCTGTCTTTACAAGTCAAAACCTGTTTGGTTGCAATTTAGGCCATTGAAACTTGTTCACTGTTGCCAGTTCATGGGGAGTCCATGGTTGCCAGGTATCCTGATGCTGAACCAACTAGGATTCTGGGCAGGACACTCTGGACTGTGAGAGTAGAGGTGATCATTCCCTGCCCCAATGCATTGTGGAACATCCAAGGAGAATACAGTCCCAGGTCTTTCATATCCTGTTGTTTATGTTGTGGTTCCTACAGAGCTCAGATTTTACATAAGACCGAAAAGAGATGGTTGTCTTTTGGGACTTGCTTCACACATAGAATACAGTCATCTTAAGATGCACTGTTTTCTAGACAATTTCAAATACTGACAATGAATATGTGCTCTTTGCCCCACATCCTCTACATGTATTAATTTCATCTTTGTTTGTATTTCAAACTGTCATCTCGTGACTGCATTTGGCACAATAACTTGTTTCTCTATGTGGGTAGGACATTTTCAAATCTGACTTCAAAAACACCTTCCCACACTATTCCCAGCTTCTATTTCGAGTGACTTAGTTGAGTTGGAGAGCATGAGAACATGGGATACACTGGGAGTAAGAGACAATTTGAAGAGGGAGGATTTAGAGAGGATGGGAGAGACAGAATGGAGTCTCCATGGGGAGAGGGATGTGCAGTGGGGTAGTAACCGTGGAGACTATGTGCTACATATTTAAGATTCCCTGTCCATCTTTTCCACATGTCCTTGTGTTTAAAGTGATGAACCCTATACATCAGGAGCCACAGGCTGGAGATTTCCAGCTGTGGTCTGAAAGAGCAGAAGTAGGAGCTATGCAGGAATTACAGATGGCAGTGTGCGCAGTTACCCAACATGTAGTGTCTGTGTCCAGACCAGGAGGAGGTAAGCCATCTACCACATGTTTCTCCACAATTCTCAAGGAAGAATATTTCCAATCTGGCCTTCCTCAGAATTTGTAGTAACGGGGTCCTGAGCCAATACAATATCCAAGCTAGGCATGAATGTACATAACCTGTGGACCACTCTCCAAGGAAACACCTCAGCAATACTCATTAATCTGTACATCCCTTCAGGTTGTTCTCCCGGTGAAATCATTCCCCCCATGAGGACAAATGAAGATCCTTCCCTTGTTTCCTTCTCCTCGCAGAGAACACACAGTGGTTTTTCCATCTAAGTAGGAATCCATCAACTCAGACCGTGAGAGTTTGTGCCTCATTTCAGACATGTGTTCCCTGCTCACAAAGGAGTGACAGTGTGTCTTTCTTCACCTTCAGCTGTCCTGTCCCTCCTGCATGCTACAAACAAGGAGTCAGTCCTGAACACCTGTGTAGTACACTGATTCATATTAAGTACTGAAGATTCTGAATTAACCTGCGTTGCTAACTTCTCTGGGATCACCGGCTTCTGTTGAGAGGACAAACAGAGAACACTACTCATTTCCAGTTTTCAGTGAGTCTTCTAGATCCCCACCTTTCTCCCAAACTCTCCCCTTCAAATCAACATTGTGAATGAACCTCAGATTCTCCGGGTTCAGTGAACACAGGCTTAAAGATCTTCTACTGCACTGGCTGTCCCAGGGTCTCCCCTTACCAGAACTGAAATGCTCAGAAGACTTTAGACTATGGGGTAGCTTGATCCTTGTGTGTAGACTACACAAGAGTGGTAAGAAAAGCCGAGGCCTAGGGCTATATATCCATGCTATCCTGGTGGCTGTCCCAGTAACCAAGACCTGAAAACCAAGTGAAACTGACTTGAGCCTGATCTGCCATTTAGAGGCCCTACAACTGCTTTGACAGTCCTTGAACTTTCCTTGAATCAGAACTCCATCTTCCCTAACTGAATTCCATCCTCCTTAGTACCTATCTGATCCTGGCCTTTTCTCAAACAGTGATTCATATTGTACTTGTTGACCAGATCTTCATCTCTGCAGGATGGCAGATAGCTTGTGCTATCACTTTCTTCCTAGAACCCTGACTATCTGATGAGTACCATTTGCACAGAACAAGTAGCAGCTTGCTTAGTGGATTACAGAGATTTTCAGTTTGTGAGAATCAGTTGTGCTCAGGCCTTGTTTCTGTTGCAGATCAAAGAATCCTGGGCTGTGAAATGGTTAAATTCAGGAAATGAGGTATGGAAATTTCCTGAATGCCCATTTTGTATTTTGTGTTTTGTATTTGTTTTGAGAGATGATTCAGTATGGATCCTGGCTAACTTGAGCCTCTCTATGTAAAACATGAAGATAACAAAATCACAGAGATGCAAGCCCCCTCATCTCCTGAGTGCTGTCTGGCTTCAAGTACTGTAATTTCTTCCAAACATGTGAGGTAGAATGTTACAATTTTTTTTTTGCTTTTTTATGTGAAAAGTGTCAGGGATTGACCTGAAGGCCCATTCATCCAGGATGGACTTCAAACAGGGAGGACTCTAAATCTGGCCTTCAGAATAAAGTCTGTAACCACTATGAACAGACTCCTGGAGGTGAGAAGTTCTGTCATAAATTCTGTGGACACCAAGGCAGTGAACTGAAGCAGGTGTGCCCTAGCTGATAGATCCTTGGATTTAAAGCAGAGAGTAGTAACGTGTAGCACTAACCCTGTTTCCCCAGAATCTCCACTTGCAGTCCTGTTATAAGTCACATGACTTTAAGCTGATCCATCACAATAGTGAAGATTGTCTCCCTGGTGTGATTGATTGAGTTCTTTCCTTTCAGGCCATCAGAACAAGTCTTAGAACCAAGGTGGGTCACTGAGATATTTGGTAGTTGTCTTGGGATTTTGAAGCCTGTTCTTTCACTTCAAGGGCACTAATGGTAGAGACACTGCAGAAAGACACATACTCTGGATAGGAGTTTCTAGTTGTCCTCATCCAAAGCAAGGAAGATTCCACTTTCCTGCTGACTTCCATGGCTAGTCTTGTCATGGCCACATTTACTTGTCAAAATCTGTTTGTGTTGCGCATTAGGCCATGGATCCCTGTTCACAGCTGCAGGCTAATGGGGAGTCTAGGGCTGCAGGCGTCCTGATACTAAGCCAACTAGGACTCTGAGCAGCAGAGTAGGCTGTTGTGAGGGTAGAGGTGATCCTTCCCCTCCTCAGTACACTGTGGACCATCCCAAAGACAACTGTCTTATTTCCTGTCCTTTCTGGCCCTGATAGACCTTCAGATTTTACATATGAAAGAATAGAGGTGATTGGCTTTTGGGACTTGTTTGTCACATATAATACAGTCACCTTTAGATGCACTGATTTCTGGAAATTTTCAAATACTGAGGCTGAATATGTGCTGTTTGCCCCACATCCACTTCATATATTAATTTTATCTTTGTTTATATTTGAAACAGTCATCTGTCCTTTGCAATTGGCATAATAACTTGTTTCTCTATAAGGGTAGGCAAATTTAAAAATCTGACATCAAAATCACCAGTCCCTCACTACTCCCGTCTTTTATATCACTAACTGAGTTGAGTTGGAGACCATGAGTCCCTGGGATATAGAGGTATCAAGAGACAATTTGCAGAGGGATGAGTTAAAGAGGATGGGAGAGACAGAAAGGAGTCTCCATGGGGAGAGGGATGTGCAGTGGGGTAAGAACATTAGAGACTGAGTGCTGCATATTTCAGATTCACTTTCCATCCTTTCCACGTGTCCTTGTTTTTAAAGTGATGAACTCTATACATCAGGAGCCTCAGCTAGAGATTTCAGTCTGTGGTCTAGAAGAACAGAAGTAGGAGCTATGCAGGAGTTACAGATGGCAATGTGCCCAGTTACGCATCATCTAGTGTCTGTGTCCAGCAAAGGAGGAGGTAAGCCATCCTCCACAGGTTTCTCCCCAAGTAACCACAATTCTCAAGGAAAAATATTTCAGGGCTGGCTCCCCTCAGAATCTGCAGTACAGGGTCCTCTGAGCCAATACCATGTCCACACTGGCTGTGGATGTACAGTCTACGTGAACCAGTCTTCAGAGAAACACCTCAGGAATGCTCACTAATCTGTGCATCCCTTCAGGTTCTGTTCTTGTGAAATGTTTCCCCCATGAGTGCAAGGAAGCGCCTTCCCTTCTTGCCTCCTCCCTTCTGTTTTGTTTGTGGCCTTCATTTATCCCTGTGTACTGTCCATCAGAAAACCACAGTCACACGTGTGTTGGTCAAATTTATGTGTTTGTGAGGAGACTTCACTGAAGGGAGTTTTCTCAGAACTATATTTTTCTCCTGATAGGAAGGTGACAGCAACTTGGAGGAAATTGGTTGTCAATGTGCATGGAATGCTGGGAGTTTTCTCCATTTTGGAAGTGAGTAGGGCTTTCCTAGGCAAGGAAACACCCACCAGAGTTCCGGTCAGTGTTCTTAAAACAACTTTGTACTGTATCCCCCTTGGGACATGGGTCAGTCCTGGACAGACTGTGTGAACATAGAGTAAATTTTTGAGTACCTCAAGGCTGAAGTCATCACTGAGACCACTGTACCAGCCTGTGATAGATGAGAAGTCTTTGGTCGATGGTGTAAAATTGCCTCTGGCTTTCAAGTAGGAAGCAGAAAGCTGGCCAGGCATGCTTCCTAAATCCCAGGGGAATGTGTTCATTGAGCTGATGTTACAGAGGATAAAAGGAGAAAGACAGTATCACCCTAGACAGGGCTTCAGATGGATGTTGAGAGAACCTGTTGTAGGTAGCACATCTGTCTGCTCTGACACTAGCATCATTTAGGTGGTACCGCTTGAATCAAAGCGGCTGAACATCTCCACACGTATGAATATTATGATAGCAATAAGATATGATCTTCAAGTTCTGTTTGACGTGTTCTGTGACAAAGATACTTTTACCATATGTGCATCCTGGGTCATCTAGGTGAGTGTCAAATGGGATTGGGTGCAGGAAGCATTGGGTCTAGTTTCTCACATGGTAATGGTAAACTGCTTTTCCTTCTTGATACCAGAGCCTTTTTACGTGACAGTAGCAAGAAAGCCAGGACAGGCAGGAATGAGAACTTCCTAGGAGACCCACCGAATTCTACCTCAGAACAGCCTGTGATAGATGAGAAGTTTTTGTTGGGCAGTGTAAACCTGACTCTGAATTGCAGGTAGGAAGCAGAAGGCTGGCTACGGAGTTTTCCTCAATCCCAAAAAATGTGTTCATTGAGCTCATGTTACAGAGGAGCAGAAAGAGAAAGTCAGCATCACCCTACGTGTGGCTTCAGATTGATGTTGAGAGAACTTGGTGCAGGTAGGACATGTCTCCTCTCTGACACTAACAGAATTGAGGAGGAAGAGCTTGAATCAAAGAGGGTGAACATCTTGTCACACCTGTGTATTATGATAGCAATAAGACATGATATCCACGACATTCTTTCTTTCAGTCCCAAGTGACTAAGCTATGCTGTGTTTTATCACCAGGGTATGAAGGTTCACAATTGCTAGTAAAAGACAGGCCCTGAACAATGAACTGTTTGTTCCTTGACAAGCAGTTTGTGTGTTTGTCAGTAGTTACAACTAAAGCAGGCTTCAGTCCTGATGCCGTTAACTGACACCGATATGTGGCTAGAAGATACTTGCCTACCATGGCAGGTCATGGATTCTCACAAGAGACAGCACAAGTGGACCCAGGGCTCCAAGCCCATGTGTTGTTCTCTGAGACTGTGAATCTCAGAAGAAGACATGATGCCGAAGAGAACAGATGAGCATAATATGCAATTTTATATGGCTGATCACAGTTTGGAGCATGTTGTGGCTTTTAGATTGTTATCTGAGAGAAGTCAGCAATGATAAGATTCACACACTTAACACCCTCCTGCCTCACTCTCTGTCTGATGGATGGAACAGGAAGAGGACAGTCAAAACCAGCTATTCATACACAATCTTTACACACACTACTCCAACATTTGTCAATTGTCAGTATTGTAATTTTCTTTCTTTTTTTTTTTTTTTTTTTTTTTTATTAATATTTTTTTATTTTCCATTTTAAATTTAGATAAGAAACAAGGTTGCTTCACAAGTCAGTACGAGGTCCCTCTCCCTTTCCCTCCCCTCCTCCCGTGCCCTCCCCCCATCCCCCCCGTTATCCTCTCATTCCCCCAGGGAGGGTGAGGCCCTCCATGGGGGTGTCCATAGTCTGTCATTTCATATAGGGCAGGGCCTAGACCCTTCCCCAAGAGTTCAGGGTGAGAGTGCACCTCACATTGTTCTATGGGAGTCCAGAGACCGTGTGTATACTTGGGATGGGTACTGATCTGCTGTCCAAGGCTCAATAGATTACCTAGGCCTCCTCACTGACACCCAGATTCAGGGGTCTTGATCAGTCCCATGCTGGATTCCCAGGCTGATGCCTGGGATTCAAGAGTTAACCTTTGTCTGGTCAGCTGTTTCTGGGGGTTCAACCAGCCCAGTCTTAATCCCTTTGATCATCAGTCCTCCTCTCTGATACTGGCTTTCTTGAGTTCAGCTCAGTA